TGGGTGACAGAGGGAGACTGTCTCAAAAAACAAACAAACAAACAAACAAAAATATATATATATACACACACACACACACATATATATAAGGAAGACAAGGTATGAAGCTCTAATAGATGTTTAATTTCAGTTCTAAAAAGAGAGAAAAAATAAGGTAAAAACAATATAGGAGGCTGGCTGGTCTGAGTGCAGTGGTGTTTACAACTAATTGATCACAATCAGTTACAGGTCTTTCTGTTCCTTCACTCCCACTACTTCACTTGACTAGTCTAAAATATATGTATACACACACACACACACACACACACACATATATATAATATAGGAGAAGATAATGGCTACTATTAGTTAAAATGTATCCCCCCTAAATTTATATGTTGAAGCCCTAATCCCTAGTATCCCAGAATGTAACTGTATTTGGAGATAAGGCGTTTAAAGAGGAGATTAAGTTAAAATGAGGCCATTAGGGTGGGCCTGACTAGTGTCCCTATAAGGGGAGTAAATTTAGACACAAAGAGAGGCACTTTGGGTGACAGAGCGACTCGTGTCCCTATAAGGGGAGTAAATTTAGACACAAAGAGAGGCACTAAGGGTGTAGACCCACAGAGGGACTGCCATCTGAGGCGGCAGCAAGAGGCCAGCCATCTCTAAGTGAAGGAGAGAGGCCTCAGAAGGAACAAAACCTGCCAACACCTTGGTCTTGGATTTTTGACCTCCAGGACTGTGAGGAAATGAATTTCAGTTGTTTAAGTCGCCCAGTCTGTAGTATTTCATTATGGAAGCCCTAGCAAACTAATACAATGACTGAGAATTATCCAGAGCTAAAGAAAAACAGTAGTATATGGATTTAAGAAAACCCATATCCAAAAACTTGACACTGATACCGTATTTGGAAAAACGTGGGTTTTCCCTATGGTATCCTGTACTCCTGTTTTAAGTTTCCAAACGGAAAGCTTCCTGGGCGATGCATCTGATTGGTGGAGCCCACGTCACAAGCCCATTCTCAGTTGCAAGCTGGGAAAGCAAGTGTGCTAGGACAGACTGACTTATAATATGTGAAATATCCACATGTAAGGAGAATTTTTAAGGGATGTTGGACACACACTAATGTAACATACGCCTGTAACAGGGCTCTTCAAAGCTTACGTTCTAGTCTCGGCTGTTTTCTCTGTATTCTTTTCCTTCAAGAGTGCATGACTCCTAGAGTCTCTAACTCAATGGATGACTTGTGTAATTTGATTAATTCATCTATCAATTCATGAAACTCTAAACACAAGAGTATTCTGGCTATCACACAATTCCCGTGAACTGCTCCATCTTCACTTAATATTCAGCTTACCTAAATCCTAGCACCACCCCTCCGCCCTCTCCAGATACCCTGAAGAGGTAGGCTTCCTTTTTTCTATAAGTATTATCTTGCCTCTTAAAGACACCTTTGAGAGTCCCCTCTCTTTCCTCTTGATTGCACTTCATATCTAGGTTCAGCAGAATCGCCCTTCCCTGTATCTCTCACTCATCCCTTCCTTTCTAGTCCCATAAGGATTACCCTTTTGCAGCTTTATGTTTGAGCATCTGCACCATGGCCAGTCACTGGTGTTTCTGACTCTGGTTGCTCGTCCCTTCAATTCATTCCGTAAACTCATCAATGTTTGGTGAATTTCTATTTTCTTCTACAAATCTTCTCACCTGCTGCCCCAGCCAGTGTTCCCTTGAATGTCTCAGTCTTTTTCTCGGACTTTGCTCGTAATTTTATTCTACCAGGGAACACCCTGCTCCAATTTTTGTCTAAGACTTAACCTCCCTCAGGCCAATGCTCTCTTGGACACCCCTCCGGATGGTTCACTTTGTAAATGTGTGGACCTTGACATGGCTACCGCTCCTTCACACCTGGCACAGCTACTTTTCATTGTTTTCCTTCATGAAAATTAAAGTTCTTTTGTTCCACAAGACTGTGACTGTGACTTCAGGATAAAGATCGTATCTGGATCCCTAGTTCTTAGTGCAGAGCCTAGCACAGACTGGACTGCAGTGTTTGTTGAATGAAGAAATGAATTAAACTGCAAATTAACAAATGCCTGCTCTGGCACTGAGACTCGCAACTGTGAGTCTCAGCGGGAGACTCACAAGCAGGAAACAAAATGCGGCTGTCAGCAGTTTCAAGTGAGACCTGTGGTGAGCTCTTTCCTCTGCCGGTTTTCCTTTCTTAATTTTCAGTCTGAAGTGGGCAAGTGAAGAGTTTTTCTGTGTTAGACTGTGTCGCGTTGGGCAGATTTCTCCAGTCTTAGGATAGTAGTGGTCCCTGTCACTGGCCTTCACTTTGCACCATCCCCAGCAAGAACAAAGTCTGTGAACTGAAGTCTAATGGTTGGGAAGTGAATTGAGACGACATCCGGATTTTACTTAGTTTCTATGCTCAGATCTTAGCAGAAGCCCTGAAAATCTTTTCCTTTTCTAAGAAATGAAGACACCTTTCCTCTGTGAGGCCCTATAGCTCAGGGGTTAGAGCACTGGTCTTGTAAACCAGGGGTCGCGAGTTCAAATCTCGCTGGGGCCTTTCTAGTTTACTTTCTTGATTCAGGTTTTACTTACATTCCCCTCCTAGTCTTTCTGAACTGACCCTGAGAATACGTGGCAGATTGTAACTTCTTGCCGCCGTTCAGAGCTTCCAAATAAACACTAGCTGAGCAGAACGTTTCCTTTAGGTTCCAGTAGTAATGCTGCTTTACCTCCTGGAATGCGGCGGAATCCATTACACAAGCGGTGGAAATCGTCCTCAGCCTCTGCCAACGCCCTGGCTTGCGGACTGGCGGCGAGAGCCCTGCTCGCTGCCGGGAGGGAAATGGGGACAGCTAGGCGAGACAATGGACCCATAAGCTATTCTCAAGCCCCGGGTCTGGGCATATTTGGAGTAGAGATCAAGGTTCCCCTTCTGAAACAGGAAGAGCCAGCGATGACCGCTCTTGCCAGGTGTCCAGAAGATAGATGCACACTGTGCGGCAAGGTTTCATGTGCCAGTGGGGTTTTGGGAAATTAAGGGCCCGACTTTAGCGGCGAGACTTGGGTCACTAAACTTGATTTTGAAGCAGAGAAATGTGGCTTTCCTTTTGAATTAGCTGAAAATATTTTCTCCAAAAGCGAATTCACACAGAAACATTGGGTTTGCCCAGATGTCCTCTATTTCAGGGGTTCCCAACCCTTGGGCTGCACACCGGTCCATGGCCTGTTAGGAACCCGGCCGCACAGCAGGACGTGAACTGCGGGCTAGCTACCAGTACCGCCTGAGCTCCGCCTCCTGTGAGATCAGCGGTGGCATTAGAATCCTATAGGAGAGCGAACCCTTTTGGGAACTGCGCATGCCAGGGATCTAAACTGTTCTCTTTTTATGAGAATCTAAGTGATGCCTGATGATCTGAGGTGGAACAGTTTCATCCCGAAACCATCCCCCAACTCCTCCTCCCCGCCCCCAAGGTCCGTGGAAAAAGTGTCTTCCACGAAACCGGTCTCTGGTGCCAAAAAAGTTGGGGACCACTGCTCCATTCTACACCCTCTCCCTCCCGAATCTGTGGACGTGTAAGCGGAAGAGCCGAGATTGGGAGGGGAGCGCAGGAAGTGAGGACACCAGAGAGCTCGGGCCTAAGCCTGGAGGCCCGCCCTCTCCGGCGTTCACAGTTGCGCAGTCAGAATTGTGTGCGTCCCACAGCCTCAGCCCCCAGTTCTGAGGCCCAGGTGCCGGTCTCCACCCTACACACAAACACACGCATCCATGCTCGCGAGGCCCCTGGGTCCAAGCCCAGTGAGGCCAATAGGCCTCGGGGGCACAGAGGATGCGCAGTCTCGGTATGTCCAGGTTCCAGGGGCACCTGCTCGGCTTGGGAGCCCCTCAGTGAAGCAGGGGAATCCAGCTTTAGAAAGGTTGTCCTCAGAACCTTGGACGCAGGTGTCTTACAAGCTGGCTTTGCGACTCTGCAATAATCACTTTCCAGATATAAAGAGATTTCTTTCTTTCCCGTCTCTGGTTAAGGATGTCTTGAAGAGGGATTTTTAGGAGCCATTTTTCCGCACTCCCTTCGATAGCTCAGCTGGTAGAGCGGAGGACTGTAGTACTTAGCGTATCGTTATCCTTAGGTCGCTGGTTCGATTCCGGCTCGAAGGAGAGGTTGCTGTTTTGGGGTTGACAGTAGCTCTTGGTTTGTGCAATACATCTCTATGTTAACGTGATGAAATCTCTTTCTATCTCTTACCCTTGTCTGAAGGAAACAGCTTAGCCACGAGTTGAGCTGCGTTATTCACGCCATGAAAAGTTGGTTACCTAGCTCTGAAAGACAGTAGACCCGAATCGTCCAACCTTTGGGGGAAGGTACTGCTATCTTACCGAAGTGTGTTATATTTTGGCTTCTACGTTAAGTCCAAAGGCCGGCAGGTATATACGTAGCGCGCGTCTGTCCTGGGGCTCAGTAACCTACAGCCTTGCAACCGAGCTCAGCTCTGGCCCTCGATCTCTATCTCAGACCCCTCCAGGTTCCCACCAGGCTCTAGTGGGCTTAAATCGCTTCCCCGGCTCAGTGAGACGCAAGGATGTCTGAAGTCTAAAAAGCTGCCTTCGTTCACCCCATCCTGCGTCTGGATCGAGGAGAATAAGCCAGACAATAAGCCATACTTGAAACTTGGTAAAGATGGAAGGAATAACTAAATAAGGCCAAAGGGAAATGTCACAACAAAGAAAAAAACAGAAACAGAAAAACCTTCAGAACGGCAGGCGGAAAACAGAAATTCAGAGTGATATGAACCCACGTCCAACGCAGTGGCTCGTTGGTCTAGGGGTATGATTCTCGCTTTGGGTGCGAGAGGTCCCGGGTTCAAATCCCGGACGAGCCCTTAGGTTTACTGTTTTTTCCACCCCCTTTTGGCAACTACTGAAAAAAGTTTCAGTTAAATTTGAAATACAGACTGTCTCTTGTTGGGCTGTCCTGCTAAAGAAAGCAGCACCAAATAAGTACGTGGCAGATGGGGCTGCCGACCAGTGTCAAGACCGAGCTTCATGGGTTCCTGGACGCTCAGCCAGGGGTAGTCTCCTAAGGGCCGCCTGGCTCTTGGGAGCAGAAGCCAGTTTCCCGCCATCTGCTCTCCGTGGAGGCAGTGCGCTCGCGGCTGCTGCCCGTTGGGTTCCAGCTGAGGAAGGAGCGTGGATCCTAGACTTGTTCTTTGCCTGGGCTGCCCCTGCGGCCCCTGGGGCGGGGCTGCTGCGGCGCCAGCTCCAAGGGCGGATGCAGGCGGGAGAGGCCTCCTGGGAGAAGCAGGGTGCGGTCCCAGCTACGCAGAGGCTCGTATGCCTACCCTCCACTCCTCACCACGCCCCCATCTCCGTCCGTGTACACACACTCACGCAAGCACACCACTCCACCCAGATGCAAAGCAGGATTCAAAAGAACATCTTTGCGTTTTCTACGGACTTCCCATCGTCGTACTAGGGAGGAAGAAGCTGGTGAGAAACAAAACTTCTTTCTACCGTCCTGCCCGTTTCTGCCGACTTGTTCAGAGGCCGAGGTACGTTCACACTCCTGCTCCTCTTGCTCTTTGGTAGCTGCATCAGGGGCGTTGTGGCCGGGGAGTCCTTTCCTAGTAGAGGCAGCTTGGGACTCCTCGGGGAGGCTTTTGCGGGACTGGGCTGGAGAGGGAGGAATGGGGAGGGAGGTGAAAGTCCAGTATTTGTATGAGTTAAGGACTTTACATTCCCACTCAGGTTTTTACTTTGCGCAGCTGGGCAGAGATGCTAGTTTCTATTGGTTAGTAGGCTTGGAGGGGGACCACAGAATCGCCGAACCTAAGGGAAGCCCTAGGAGGTCTTCACTTGCCCACAACTAAGAAAGCTTTGCTTGTTATTCAGGTTAATCACCAGATTTTTGAAGCAGGCCTTAGTTTTTGCAAGCGTAACTAACATTTGGGGATCGGTATTTTCTGTTTACTCTCCTCTGCCTCCCCACCCTTAACCCACCCTCAACCAATGTTGTGCAATTCTTGGAGACACTTGCCAACAGCCTCTTTAAGCCTTCCTACTGGAAGGCTGGGATCCTCCGTTTTTTTCTCTCTGAGACAGCACGTCAAATCCTAACAGCAGCACATGAGTAAAGCGCAACATCTTTATTAAAACAATTTCAGCACCACTCAGGGGGCTAAGGAAATCTCAGATGAGCCAAGATCCTCCCTCGTGACAGTGAGAGTCTTATAATCAGGTAATAACGTAATCAATAGAAACCCAAGTGACATATTTATCTGCAGCACAGGACCACCTTCCCAGAAACAGCCGCAGGTATTCCAAGACTTAACCACAGAGCCACTAACTAGTTTTGCAAGAGGATAGGTTTGTTACATACGCTTCAATTCAAGCAATTCTTTTACTGATGACAAGCAGAGTAAAATATTTTTTGAATTTATGGTAATAGTCACTGTAGGTTTCCTTTGAACAGCAACTTTCAGTGGCCCTTTTAAAGTTAGCTTTGATTGTCTAGACAGTACTAGTATGGAAAATAAAAGTTGTGTGGACCTGGCACGGTGGCTTATGCTTGTAATCCCAGCACTTTGGGAGGCCGAGGTGGGTGGATCACCAGATCAGGAGTTCGAGACCACCCTGGCCAAGACGGTGACACCTCGTCTCTACTAAAAATACAAAAACTAGCTGGGCACGGTGGTGAGCTCCTGTAATCCCAGCTACTCGGGAGGCTGAGACAGGAGAATCCCTTGAACCTGGGAGGCGGAGGTTGCAGTGAGCCGATATCCTGGGTGACAGAGCAAGACTCCATCTCAAAAAAAAAAAAAAAAAAAGTTGTGTGGTGCATTGGAAAGCTTCTAGTCCCGCGAATGCCATGAGTTAGTTCCTTGGGCAATACATGTCTCTTTCTCTGTTCCTCAGTTGCCTTTTCTTTAGTATGAGGGGTGGACAGACGGTCTCAGAGGCCCCTCCCACTATTGTTCTGTGACTGCATGGAGTGGTGCGATGTTAGAAACAGGATATGAGGCACTCTAGTAATGTGGAGACGAACTATAGTTTGGCAGAGAGGATGGAAAAAATCATTCCAGGAAAAGAGGAATGGCTTTAGCTATCGCTGACAGCAGATAATCAGGTTATAAGCAGGCAAGTGTAAGAGGTTTGCCAAGTTATTGTTGGAAGCATTTGTCACTGTGACTCAAATTAAAGTAGATGGATAAAAAAGTGGACCAGTGAAAGCCAGTGAAACCTTTCTTTAGAGTTTTTATTTAATTTGTATTTAAGCAGATTCTCTGTAATTCTGTGTAAACAGTTATTCCCAGAAGAATACCATGAAATACTTGGGAAAGAGGGAGTGGGCACAAAGCCCAGAGTTGGTTGAAAAGCAAATGTTTAATTGTTGTCTTTGTTTGGAAATACAGGCATGTCAGCAGGACTTTGTCCCCACTGTCCTTCAGTCAGTAGTGTTGCCACTTCCTGGAGACGTGGTTCTTCTTTTCACGCGGGCTTTTCCTTCTTTACCTGTTACTTCCGTTACTGAATAAGTTTCATGCTTATAGACCTAAACTGTTAGAATAATAAAGAAATTTAGAAACTATTTAGTCCATTCTTCCCATCATCTAATTTTAGTCCTGAGACAGAATGAAACATAGATACTCTGTATGAAGGAGGAAAGTGCTCCAACACTAGAGTCCTTGGAAACAGGACCCATGCATCCCGTGTCTGTGTGCAGGGACGTTATTGGCTTGAGGGAGAGAGAGAAAAAAATCTCCAGGAAAGGGGAATGACTTTCAAGTTAAAGCTGTCTGAACATTTAAAAAATATATGAAGTTTTTTTGCAATTGGCAATTCCTTCATTTGTACTAAAATTACTGACAAAGATGTGATGTTCCTTAATCATAGAATATAATTCCTTGTTGTATTTTAAAACACAAATGACTAAGTACCTAGATGCGTTCTAATGAAATAGTAATTTTCCCCCCAAACCCTACTTTTTGTTTCAACAAAACTTCCTTGTGCCAAGTTTAAAAGAAAAACAAAAAACTGTCTTTTGGCGTTGTGGGCAGATTGTGAGTCCTCCAAAGGTTGTCCAGTGAAGGCCCAGAGGCAGAGAAGGGACCTGACTATATTCAGAGGCTGCTGGTTGCCCCAGCCCAGCACTACTGCAGAACTCTAAAATCAGAGGCTGCTCTGTTTGTGTGAGTTGGTGCTTGAATTGGAGCTTCAGGCCATGGCGCTGTGTGTATGCAGGCACATTTGGGTTGTATGTTGTGGCGGAGTTCCGCTTTTCGGGACTTAGAGGTGGTGTTGCTTGAGCTAAGTCTGGAAAGACGGGTCTGTTTTCTCCTTGTTTACAAAGGGTTCAAAGTCTGACTCCACCATTCATCTGCTGTTTGTTCTTGGAGTTTCCTCATGAGCAGAGCATATTTACATAATGCCTACCTCACACAGTTCTGGTGCTGGTTGAATGTAGTCATGTATGTGAGAGCTTCATAAAATGAAAGACTGCACTGAATATTATAATGATTGTGATTTCAAGTGCATTTGTTTCACTAGCAGGCAGCCTGTCTTTCTTGACAGCTTCTCAAGTGCAGCCAGACTGAATACTTGCAGTTAGGTGGATGACAACCGAGGATTGAGGATTTTTAAAAAGATAACACTGTCCTAGATCCAACACCACTGTGGGCAAATGCTGGGGGTCTGTGAAACAGTTGGTACCCTGCTACTGTCTGATATTGGTAACTACGAGATCTATAAAGTGATCCTGGTGACCTTTGGCCCACTGTTTTTACACAAGCAATGGATCTACAGCCCTGCTTTGATGGTGGAGATAAGCAATTTTGCAACTACATTATAAGGACCAGACGATTGAATGTTCAGGGTTAGTCTCTTGTGGACAGGTAAAGATGGAAGAAGGAGAAACCCAGGAAACATGGCAAGCCTACTTTTGGGGGTTAGAAGCTGAGAGGTTGAGTGTAGGGGGAGGGGCAGTGTACTAATAGCTGTCACACAACCTTCTCTAGAAGTGCTTTCCTGGCTGTATGAAATCGATCGAATAATGTGCTTAGCATCCATTCGTGAAACCAAATGATGTGATATGATACATAGAATGTGATATGATGAATGATAAATAGAAAGTCCAGTGGAAAAGCATCTTACTGGAAGACCATATCTTACTCTGTGACATCTTCCAAGGCAGTTCTTGGAGTTGGCCCAGGGAGATCAGAGATGCTATCTTATGGATCCAGACTATTATGTGTGAATAGTGAAACCTCAGTCCTGCCATGGACAAGAGTAAGCACCACAGACAGCAGAAAAAGGTAACTTTTGGACAGAAGGCCATGTTTCTCAAACTTTGTCTTCCAGAACAAATCTCTAATCCATTCAGGTAGGTTAATATCTAACCCAATCATGCCCAGCGACAAGGTGAATGACCCTCCTCGTTCGTTCAAGAGCAGTGTCCTTGGTTTTCATGTCCCTGCCAGGATTGGGGGTCCTTAGCTCTATTCTCTCCACCCCCTTATTAGAACACTATATAATCAGAACCTGGAGAGGCCTCCAGGTTCACACAGCTAGAACCCGTCTCCAGGAACAAACAGCTGGAACCATCTCCCGTTGAAGGGAAACTGCCAGGTTTTTGTAAGATTCTTCCTCCTGGGTAATCTATTGTTCTATTTGTTTTATATATAATTTCTAGTCATTTATCCATTTTAATGAAGCCATTTTCCTCCCTTTAAAGCCTCTGGGCTCAAGCTCATGAATTAAAAAGGAAATTGATCAGATTCTAAAGTTTAAAATGAAAACAGGTTTCCTTTGGGATGGCCTATATGTGGATAAAGAGAAATTAGTGAGACTGGGAGCAAGTGGAAGTTTAGGAGGCATTTCTAAATTGTGATAAAATCCCCAAAGGTTTGGGGGAGCCATTTGCCGAAGGGCATCAGGAGTCCTCCCACGTCGTCCACCTCTGTTACAGGCATTACACGTGGCTTAACAAGGAAAGAAACAGAAAGTATGTTTTTAGCATTCTTTCCTTCTAACCTTCTCTGCGAATTTCTTTTCTTAGAAAAGTTTTGGATGCTCTTTGAAAACAAAGTGGAACACATCCCAAGATCAAAAGAAGGCTCACTGGCAGGCTGAAGGGAAGAAGGAAGGAAAAGCAATAAAGGGATGAATATGCCTTGGGTGTTAGGCTCTCACTTTGGGGGATTTTGCCCTAGGATATATAAAAGCGTGAAGCCACATTGATGAAAATGATAACTATAGTTACTCATCATAGACTGTCAAGTTAATTCACTGGTGTGTAAAATTTGATGAATCTCTTGAATATTGAACATTGCCTGTGGGGAGAGGGAGACAATATTAATGCTTGTGAAAACTAACAGATTCATTTGATACAGAAGATAAAGTTACTCTAAAGAACAGATGGGGCCAGGTGTGGTGGCTCACACCTGTAATCCCCGCACTTTGGGAAGCCAAGGTAGGCAGATCACCTGAGGTCAGGAGTTCGAGACCAGCCTGGCCGACATGATGAAACCCCCTCCATACTAAATATACAAAATTAGCCGAGCATGGTGGCAGCCGCCTGTAATCCCAGCTACTCGGGTGACTGAGGCAGGAGAATTGCCTGAACCAGGGAGGTGGGGGTTGCAGTGAGCCGAGATAGCACCACTGCACTCTAGCCTGGCCGATAGAACAAGACTCCATCTCAAAAAAAAAAAAAAAAAAAAAAAAAAAAAAAAAAAAAAAAAAAGAGAAAAGAAAAGAAAAGAAAAAAGAACAGAGAACAGCTGGGGCTAATTCCACTGACAAAAAGCTGACAGACAGTTACGTGTTTGGGTATAGAAGGATGTGTCTATAGGACTTTCGCCACCAGATGTGAGGCTCTGCACCCTTGGCTTAGGCAGATTCACTTTTACACCACAAATAATATGTCTCTTACTGGTTTTCTCCCAGTTCCATTTTACCTTGCTTTTTGAGAAATTTAGAGTTGACTATATTGAGAAAGTTTTAAGTGAGGGAGCAGATGTTAGATATTGGTGGTTTTGGTGTACGCTTGCTGAGATTTGGCTCCTGGATGTCTTAGGGAATCAAGATTACAGTAAGCCCGGGCAAACCTTAGCTGACTTGTTACAAAATGAATGTGCATATTTTGCAAATCAGAAGCAAAGATACCCTTTTACCTCTGCAGACTGGGATGTGAGGGCCTTCATACTAAAAAAACAAGTGGCTTTTTAGGAGGCAAAGCCCCCGTGTAGTTCAGTGCTTTACTTAGAGGTGTTATGTGAGCGTGGCTTACACGTTGAGCCTTATGGGATGATGCATCTTAATGAGATTGGGCCACAGGTCACCCTGTCATCTCCTTGTTTCAGTTGGTGCCTTGTGCCCCCAACTAAACTTACACAAAATTTGTCTTTGTAACTGAAGGTCACTGGACCTTTACTATTGAAACTAGCAAAGCCTCTATTATGCTTAATGAGAACCATGAAACTTCAGATTTTTAGAGCTAACAACTCTCTTATTTTCTTGATGAACAGGCCTGGAGAGAAAAATGAAGTCAATTATTTAAAAACTATTAAGGAGTATAATAAGGCAAGCATGTTGATTCAAGGTGAATAATATGAGTTCTGTAGAAAATACACCAGTAAGAAACACTCACAAGTAAATAGTCCATTGTTCATCCAGGATCACATGGGTAATGGCATGCTTGGAAATGGCACCCGTGAAACCTGACAACAGGTCGATCTTCATTTTGTGATATCATTATGGGTAGATCCTGAGCTTTGTGGCTTTTACTTTGGCACTTATATCTGGTGAGGTGTCCTTGGTCTTAATATCTAATGCAGAGAGGGTTTGGACAGAGATTCTAAACAGGCTCACCAGCTCATACTCGCTTCTGTGAACAGCAATATCCCCACCAGTTACACAGCATTGGCACCTCTTCCAAGTCCGGTCTCTTTCCTAGAGGAGACATTAGTAACATTCCTATCCACCACTGCCACCTAATGACTCTTTTAGGTACTAGCAGCTCTGGTTCTGCTCCCTGATTTTTTGAATTCTGGGATTCTGGCACCAGGCAGAGGGATGTTGACTATGTAAGAGACTTTTGACATTAGAAGTCAGTATTTGTTCATTACAGAGCAAGAGACTTAATTGATTACAAATCAATAAAACTTTGATAAGATCTTCCAAAAAACTAGAAACAGGAAACACACGCAGGAGACTGAAAAGCATGATGTAAATGTAAAGAACTTGGGAAGTGGGTGGCTTGGCAGCCCAGCAGCTATATTGGAGCAACTGCATGAGTGAATACTTGTTACTCCTTTAGGGCTGGCTCTCCATTCTGCAATCATGTACCTCTTTCTTGATAAACTCCCAAGAACACACTTTCAGCATGGAATTTCAGACTTTTAGAGATAGCAACTCGTCTCAAGTATAGACAAATGTCAGTGCAGACAAATTTGATACACTGCTGAAAAATACCAAATTATATGCTAAGGAATTTTTCATTCCACAATAATGGAGTAAATAGCAGCTGGAAATGTTTGCATTAAGTTCATAGGTTATAATTTGTAATGGAATCAACACCAAATGCAAATTAGAAAGAGAGCCCACTTTGCTCACCCCACATGTCTTCCCACGTAACCGTAGAACACTGGAGTCCTGTGTCTTTCTAGATCCACAGTCTTGCTCTCAGAACAGGCTAGCCACAGCACAGGCCTAGTGCTAGGACCCATGGCCTTTTTAAGCTCAGACTCCCTTCTGTGGACAGCAACATCCCCACAACTTGTACAACATTGGTGCTTCCGGCAAAGGCTACAGAACTATTTGATATGAAGATGTTCATTGACTTACACACAAGAGAAGCACCAAATAAAAAATTAATAATTAATTTAGTGTCTATGAAAGTGTACCATTTATTTTTACATTTAGGGGTCATAAGAATTGTATTACATTTAAGAATGTAATACAATTTGAAGATCAGATTTTTCTCCCTTTGTGAGAATTTCTCAGTATGTGTGATGACTACCAAGAAATCATAGCCAGTCATAAATTCAATGAGTTACTCATAAATGAACAATTTGAAAAGCAAAATTCCAAAAATCAGGTAAAATTTTACAGTGAAAAGTTATTTTTGTTGTCAAATATAGGGGCATTCACATATATTAGATATAATGTGGGTTAGATCTGTAATGATTTTTAAAGGCTCTGAATGGTTTTTAAAATTTTCTCCAAAGAACTAAAGGTATAGTCAGAAACTACTTGTTGCACATACCAAATACTTTTCAATTCTCTAATCTTCAACTTTCATAAGAAATAGAATCTTAAAAGTTCATAAGAAATTTGCTTTCTATTTTGTTATAATTCATATTTGTTTAGTTCTATTGTCAATGATCAGTCATTGAGTTAAAATTAAGCTCCAGGAAGAAGCACCGTATTTACCTAAAGCATCTACCTAAAGGTGTGTTGAGTGTCTGTGATGCACCATTCCTGGGATGTGTGCGTTCTAGAGTTTGAGAGGGACAGCTCTTGAGAGGTGATGGCAGGAATCCTTTTTCTCTTCTTTTGAGGAAGACGTTAAGAAATCATTAGAGCAAACTGTAAGGCCTTTGATTTGATTAAAAAAAAAAGTCTAAGGCATTTTTTTACCACATGGTAGCACCTTTTGCCTGTTGTGTAACAGCATATGTACATATGCAGGAGAAACTAGAAAATATTATCTAGAATAATCTCAATTGCTTCCAATGTGAGAAGCTCCTAAGAATAAGCTCATATTCCTCTTTCTTCTCTGTAAGGGTTGATTCCAGACCCATCTTCCAAACATCGCGTGTCTTCTTCCATGTTCCTCCCTCTTCTTTCTAAATGGTACAGAACAAATTCACCTTTGGCCACGAACCACCTACTTCTTGGGGAAGTAGGTCTGCTTCCCCTCAACTCAGGATGCAACTGCTTTCAACTGCTTTCTTCACATTAGCTGAGTAAGTAGCTAGAATTCTGTCGTAAACAATTTTATGGTTGATCCTTCTCTGGGCTCAGGATTCCCTAAAACAGAGGTCCCCAAATCCCGGTCTGTGGCCTGTCCGCCTGAGCTCTGCCTCCTGTCAGATCAGCAGGCAGCATTAGATTCTCACAGGAGCCGGACCCCTCTATTGTGAACTGCGCATGTGCGGGATCCAGATTGTGTACTCTTTATGAGACCCTAAATTAAACTAATGCTTGATGATCTGAGCCAGAACAATTTCATCCTGAAACCATCCCCCACCCATCCATGGAAATACTGTCTTCCACAAAAATGGCCCCTGGTGCCAAAAGTGTTAGAGACCACTCCCCTAAAACTCTCTCTTCTTATCTCTCACCTCCTGTATTACTATCTCATCTCAGTACACTGAAGTCCCCATCCTTTCCTCATGGATGCCTCATTTCCTATTAGGGAGGCATTTGGTATGTCTTTTTTTTTTGACAGAGTCTGCCTCTGTCGCCGCCCAGGCTGGAGTGCAGTGGCGCGATCTCGCTCAGTGCAAGCTCCACATCCCTGGTTCACGCCAGTCTCCTGCCTCAGCCTCCCAGGTAGCTGGGACCACAGGCGCCCGCCACCACGCCCGGCTAATTTTTTGTATTTTTAGTAGAGATGGGGTTTCACTGTGTTAACCAGGATGGTCTCGATTTCCTGACCACGTGATCCGCCCGTCTCGGCCTCCCAAAGTGCTGGGATTACAGGCGTGAGCCACCGCACCCGGCCGTCATTTGGTATGTCTGAATGTGCGTCAGGACCTAGTACAGTCCCTGGTACCCAGTAGGGACCTATGTAATGTTCGTTATTCAATTAATTAATAAGTGAATTAGTGAGAGTGGATTTTGTAATGTAACGACTGATAGAGAAATACTCAGTGATTCTAAGGGATAGGAAAGAATGGTTGGAGCTAGAGGTTGTGCTCAGGAAACTATTAAATAGACCTTCCAGAGGAATGGATTCAGAATAGGTGTAAGGTTAATGAGAAAGGGAGAATAGAATATATAATTTGGTGGCGGAAAAGATCTGATTCATGATGCCGTGTCAGAGAGAAAAGCTCCTGTCCTTTTTGCCTGATTTGGTGATGCTGTTCTTGCATCTACCATTCCTCCTTTTGCCCTTGGCAGGAGCCTGTGTTGGAAGAGATGGTGATGCGCCTGGGCCTTTTCTTGTTGGTCTTCATGCTGGGTCTGGGTCTGACCCCACCCACCCTGGCTCAGGATAACCCCAGGTACAGAGACTTCCTGGCCAAGCACTATGATGCCACACCACAGGGCCGGAATGACAGATACTGTGAAAGCACGATGAGGAGACGGCACCTGACCTCACCCTGCAAAGACACCAACACCTTTATTCATGGCAACAGGCACCACATCAAGGCCATCTGTGGAGATGAGAATGGAAACCCTTATGGAGGAAACCTAAGAATAAGCAAGTCTCCTTTCCAGGTCACCACTTGCAAGCTACATGGAGGATCCCCCTGGCCTCCATGCCGGTACCGAGCCACACGGGGGTCCAGAAACATTGTTGTTGGTTGTGAAAATGGCCTACCTGTCCACTTGGATGAGTCCATTTTCCGTCCGTAACCAGCGGGCCACTGGTCAAGTGCTGGCTCTGCTGCCCTTGCCTTACATTTCCCCTCTGCACCCTAGAACAGTGTGGCAACATGCATTGCCAAGGGCCCAAAGAAAGAGCTACCTGGACCTTTTGTTTTCTGTCTGACAACATGTTTAATAAATAAAAATGTCGCTGATATCAGTAAGAATCAGAGTCTTCTCACTGATTCTGGGCATATTGATCTTTCCCCCATTTTCTCTACTTGGTTGCTCCCTGAGAGGACTGCATAGGATAGAAATGCCTTTTTCTTTTCTTTTCTTTTTTTTTGAGACGGAGTCTCACTCTATTGCCAGGCTTGAGTGCAATGGCGCAATCTTGGCTCACCACAACCTCTGCCTCCTGGGTTCAAGTGATTCTCCTGCCTCAGCCTCCCAAATAGCTGGGATTACAGGCATGTACCACCATACCTGGCTAATTTTTGTGTTCTTAATAGAGACAGGGTTTCACCATTTTGGCCAGGTTGATCTTGAACTCCTGACCTCAGGCGATCCACCCACCTTGGCCTCCCAAAGTGCTGGGATTACAGGCATGAGCCTCCGAGCCTGGCCACTTTTACCTTATCAGTCAGTTTTTTACAAGTCATTAGGGAGGTAGATTTTACCTCTCTGTGAAGGAAAGAATGGTAAGTTGATCTACGGAGATGGAAAAATTCCAGGGCTCATAGCCACTAAGCAGAATTTTTAAGAGAGGCAAATTGTTTTTTCTGTCAAATAATAAGCTAATATTACTTCTACAAATACGAGACCTTCAGGAGGAGTTTCCAAGGACCAAGTACCAATATACCAACAGATTATTAGTTTCTCTCTGTCTGTTACACACACGCGCGCACACACACACACACACACATACACATACAGATATGTAATCCAGCACGAATACCAAAATTCATTCAGGGTAGCCACCTTTTTGTCTTAAGCGAGAGATAGTTTTGATGTTTGAATGGATTGCTCCCAGGATATTCTCTTGTCATGGTTATTTTATATAAAATTCAAAAACCAATTACATTATTTACTCTGTAATCTTTTACTTAATCAGCTAATGTCTGGCAAGTGTGATGTTTTGGGGAAGTTACAGAAAGATTCCGGCCAAGCGCTGTGGCTCACACCTGTAATCCCAGCACTTTGGGAAGCTGAGGCAGGCAGATCCTGAGGTCAAGAGATCAAGACCATCCTGGACAACATGGTGAAACCTTGTCTCCACTAAAAATGCAAAAATTAGCTGGGCGTAGTGGCATGTACCTATAGTCCCAGCTATTCGGGAGGCTGAGGCAGGAGAATCGCTTGAACCCAGGAGGCAGAGGTTGCAGTGAGCCGAGATCACGCCACTGCACTCCAGCCTGGGCGACAGAGCGAGACTCCATCTCAAAAAAAGGAAAGATTCCCAGTTTATCCCTTATTCTTCCTCAAGATTTGTTGTAAAGATAACTTAGGTTAACACTCTCTTTGTAAAATACACTGTTCAATCTACAGACTCAGTAGTCAGCTTCTTGTTACCTAATTTCTGTTAACAGGTACCTGGATATGTTATTTAGAAAGTAGTTGCCAATAAATTACTTATAAATCACCAGTTTCACTGCCTTCTGAACACATAATTATTGTGGTCTCAGTATTCCCTATGGTGGCTTCTCCTACTCCTGGTATTGCCCTGAAATGGGCCAAAAGCCCTGGCTCCCCAATGCTCAGGTTATAGAACGCTGTCCAGGTACCACCTAGGAGAGCCCAGCCTCACTGAAAGTATTCAAATTTAGGAATGGGTTCGAGAAGTAGGTTGCTGGTGTGTGCTCAGCACAGGAATCTCTCCTCCTTCGGTTAGTCTATTTCAAAACTGAAAACACTGTCATTCCTTAAGAAAACAGGAAAAAGTATTCCAAACGTCTCTTACTAGAAAATTTGCCATATTACCAAATCTCAAAAACTCTCAGGAAATGAGAAAGTCCCAGTTTCTGGTAAACTATTTGGGCCCTTTTCTTAAGTTCTCCAACCAGTGCTATTTTCTTGAGGTGAGGCAAAGTTACTCAAGATCATTGCTCCTACTCAAGGCCTTGATAGGGCAAGTCAAAGGCATGGACCATTATTATATTGATCACATCGTAAGCTGTGAAAACTCACATCTTCTCCAAACATCTGCTTGGAGCATTATCATCGCATCGTTTGCTCTGGTGTTAAGGGAAATGGCTATTTCACAGGAAATCACATGGCAGTGGGATGGGGGTGTTTCCTGAGCTGCTGATGGTACTGGCAGCTGGGCAAGCATTCCTAGTCCTTTTTGGTATGGGCCTTTTGTTCTATCACAACCACAAGCTGTTTAAAATAAAATGTCAAACCACAGGCAGGTCATTTTGTCCTGAGTGAATCATTTGAGGAATTGAAGTCCTGGTCAGCTGTGATTGTTGGCTTTGCAAGGAAAAAGAAAGAACACTCCAAAATGCTAAGTCCTTTGAAGAATAGTGACATACAAGGAAGAAAATTCCATGCAATTTGGAGAGGAAAAATTTTTCTAGGGATCTAGTAGCTGAGATATTTTATAGTTTAAAAACACACTTCCAATATCTTGAGACTACAGTTAGCTCTACGAAATAAAGAGGAGTCAATAATATATGCAACTCTGTAGTCATTCATTATTTTATCCAGATTGACAGAAGCAGAGGAAACCAAGAAAAATGGAAGTGGTATAAAAAAAAAATGCAGTAATTGCCAACATTTACTGAGCATTTACTATATGCTAGGCCTTGTTATAGGCACTTAGATTTATTTTGTTTTCATAACATCCCTAAGAGGTAGGTATTGTATGCGTATTTTGCTTATGAGGGAATCTGCTGAGAGAGGTTAAGTAATTTTCTCATGGTCACAGCCTCAGTCTTTTAGACCACAGTGTCAAAAGAAGTTCTTACTGTTAGTCAGGGTAGTGCAGTGAAGAAAGTGTTTGGGGAAAATCCTGGCCCAAAAGTATGTGTTGGGATGATGTGGAGATCATTCAATTTTCTCTTGTAGATGCACCCATTGGTGTCCACACTGGCCTGCTGTCTTCAAATATTTCTCTATGTCTTGTTTACTTGGTTAGTGTAGAAAAGCTGACATCCTGGGTCTGCTCTCACATGAATAGGTGAGATTTTCTCTGTAGCCAGTTATCTTGCTAAACCATATTTTTGGTCACAAAGAATCAGGATAAGAGAAAGTAGATGAAACTATGGAAACTCCAGGTGCCACCAGAAAAGCAAGCCAAAGTATATTGATCTGCTGAAGCTATAATCCAAGTACTAAGTATACCTTCAGAAGTTGTATGCATTGTTCTTGAGGCAAAAAAGAAATCAAACATCTGCCCTTCCTCCCACAACCTCTTTACTTCTTTCTCTTCCTAACATCGTATCTCACATCTACAGCTGCGGGCACACAAATATGACATACAGCTTTATATCTTTATGCGCAAAGGCAAAAGGTGGCTATGGATAAAGGAGGTGGCATTTAAAAGAACAACATCCGTGTTTGATACTGCTTTCATTGTCAGTAATCAAAAGGTAGGCTTTCAGCAGAACAAAGTAAGGTACAGGTCCCTTGGAAGCCATTTCAGTCATTCACACAGTGTGATCCACCATTATGAAGCAGAATTTGAAATCCAAAGACAATAGTACCCATATACATCAAACTAGGAGTTCCACTGGGGTCAGTCCTTGGACTGCCCATGTAGAGTTGGGCTGCCTGACTCTCAAAACATTGCCCTTGCTAATTTGGGTTGCTCACTTCCTGTTGAATCAGGGATGATTTTTCTTTGCTATAGTAAGTCGACCCTGCTTCACCTGCTTCACTGCAAGAGTCAAGCCGATTCACAATTCATGTCAATTCCAGGAGTGACGGCCAGATGGCAGCATCTGGCTAGTCAGTTGGTGAGTGATTCCACCTCCAAGCTTGATTAAACTCTGCTGCTGGGAAGTAGCAATTCTGAGCATATATAGAGTCTTTGATATCCTGAGTATTTGGGGCATGGGATGAGAGAGGCAGTAGAGGATAGTGGAAAGAGCACAGGGAATAGACTAAGATAGGCCTGGATTCCTTTCTATAATCTGTCAACGAAAGCAACGAATGTTCGGAAACTACATGGCAATGCTTTTTTTTGTTGCTGCTCTGGATTTTTTTTTAATGCTATAAAATATATGCTTATTTTTCACTGCAACAGGTGACAACACAATGATGCTGCAACTAGAGAAGACAGACAGCTACCAACAACTATTGACAAGACAGGAGGAACATCAAGAATAGATGCAAGACAAAGCAATGTATCTCCAGGGTCTAGATTTTTTAGGTTATGTATGCATAGAAACAGCAAGGAGAAGAAGACACAATCTAAGTTTTCTTTTGAGGATATTGTGCTGTTTAAATTTATTTTTTAGACATTTCTTAGCTTTTCTTATTAGTCAATTTCATAAGCCTGGGAAACACCTTTACTCTATCCATTTAATTGCATTTGTTCATTAGTTCACTGATTTCACTTATTAGTTTATTCAAACAGTAGCTATTATCAACTGTCTTCTAAGTACTCTATCTGGGTACTCTGGTTTTTTTTTTTTAATAGAATTAAAAGGATTTCCAAAAGGACCTGATTTTACATTAGAATTAGAATAATACCTTTTAGATTAATGTATAACATATATTATTCTGGAATTAGAATAATACATTTTAAGTCACATTAGAATAATAGCCACATGATAAAAAGAAAAGAAAAATAATAAAATTAATGACAATAAGAATAGTCATGAGAGGAAAGGCAAAGCCTAAATATTCCTCTGTCCTCTTCCTCCACCTAGATTCCCAGATGTAAGGTATTAAAAGTAGTTTACAAACTTTCTTTGATATATCCTGAGTCTACCCAAACTGTCGGGAATTGGAGCTTCCTGGGAACCAAACACTCCCCAAAGATCATACACATACGGAATTCCCCCAAGAGACACAACTGCAGTTGCATGTAGGTTCACCCTTTCTCTCTTTTTATACTCTGACCACACAAGCCTGGCAGCCACGCAGTCACAGCCACGCAGTCAGTCCCTGACCTGTGTCATTGTACTGGCTGCAGCAACTTCTCTCTGTAAATGAGAAAGGTCTTGCTTTCAGAAAAGATCATGTTTGCAAACTACTCACTCTTGGGGAAGCGAGGGTGGGAAAAGTAGCAGAGATGAGTGGGGAGATGGAGCATATAAGAAGGAGGAAAGAGGACACTATGGAGTCAGGATGCCAGCTTGCTATTCTCAACACCTTTTTCCAGTGCCCAGTTCTTACCTTATTTCTCCTGCCCCTTGCTTTCTTTTCTAGGCACCTCTAAGGTACTGATGGCTCTGCAGAGGACCCATTCATTGCTTCTGCTTTTGCTGCTGACCCTGCTGGGGCTGGGGCTGGTCCAGCCCTCCTATGGCCAGAATGGCATGTACCAGAGATTCCTGAGGCAACATGTGCACCCTGAGGAGACAGGTGGCAATGATCGCTACTGCAACATGATGATGCAAAGACGGAAGATGACTTTGTATCATTGCAAGCGCTTCAACACCTTCATCCATGAAGATATCTGGAACATTCGTAGTATCTGCAGCACCACCAATATCCAATGCAAGAACGGCAAGATGAACTGCCATGAGGGTGTAGTGAAGGTCACAGACTGCAGGGATACAGGAAGTTCCAAGGCACCCAACTGCAGATATCGGGCCATGGCGAGCACTAGACGTGTTGTCATTGCCTGCGAGGGTAACCCACAGGTGCCTGTGCACTTTGACGGTTAGATGCCACCCTGTAGGGATTATCACGAGTGGTTGACCTTACACTTACTCCTTAAATAGCAGTGAGTAATGCATTTGAGCTGTCCCAGGCTCTGTCTCCTCAGCTCATTTCTTATTATTTTTCTCTATATAACTCGTTCTATTAAATACATTGCACCAAAGAGAAATGGAGACATAAACCTATAATGAATGAGGCTGGGCTTTTCTGTAATAAGCTTCCTTTTATAATACTGCTCAGCTTAGCTCTCTCAGATCCTATCCTGTGGAATTTAGTTATTATGTGTATTTATGTAGTATTTCAAACATTTCAAAAATGCTTTCATCTATGTTTATCACATTTTAATACCACAGCACTTATAATGATGTCATTACATATAGAAGCTCAAAGTTAAGGGATTTGCTGAAGACTATAACATTAGTGGAAGAATTGAGACAAAAATCCAGTGTAGCTGGCCACTTATTCAGGGCTTTTTCTACTTCATCACAAGGAATGTTTTTAAAGTCTCTGCTTTTTTTTAATCCTTAAAATTCACCTGTCCGGGGAGGCATTAAAAATTTGGCAATGTATGCCAGCAAAATGTGAGCTCTGTATTTTTTGGCATTGTTATGTTTGGGTTGAATAAGATTAAGAAAATGATATTGGGAATTTTCTTTTTCCTGAACCTTTGAATCACCCTAGTAAGTCAAAGTATTAAAAAAAGTACTAGATCATTAAGACTCATGTGCTCTTGCTGACTGAAAGATTTTTTGTTTTTCTTGTAATAAAGGACTTAAACTGAAGGTACCTGAGAAGACTGTGCTATGGTATTATATCTTTTTCTCCAATTTTAAAATTCTTCTCTAGTTTATAAACATGCATGCACCTTAATAACCTCATAAACTCTGGTCAAAGACTAATGCCTATCAGATCCATGACCATAACACTGAAGATTTATCTCATTTACTCCAGAGAGAATGATTCCTCTCAAAGACAATTCTCACAGCCCTTCCTTCTCCCTTAGAATATTTAGAAACAAATTAGGGAACTGTCAGGCCTCTGAGCCCAAGCCTGCACTATACATCCAGATGGCCTGAAGCAACTGAAGAACCACAAAAGAAGTGAAAATAGCCAATTCCTGCCTTAACTGATGACATTCCACCATTGTGATTTGTTCCTGCCCCACCTCAACTGATCAATTAAACTTGTGACATGCCTTCTATTGGACAATGAGTCTCAGGAGCTCCCCACTGAGCACCTTGTGACCCCCTACCCCTGCCCACAAGAGAATAACCCACTTTGACTGTAATTTTCCACTACCTATCCAAATCCTATAAAGGCCCCACCCCATCTCCCTTTGCTGACTCCTTTTTCGGACTCAGTCCACCTGCATCCAGGTGACTAAAAAGCTTTATTGCTCACACAAAGCCTGTTTGGTGGTCTCTTCATATGGAAGCATGTGATATTTAGTGCCAAAGACCCAGGACAGGGGGACCCCTTCAGGAGACTGGTCCCCTGTCCTCGCCCTCACTCCATGAGGAGATCCACCTATGACCTCAGGTCCTCAGACCAACCAGTCCAAGGAACATCTCACCAATTTCAAATTAGGTAAGCGGTCTTTTCACTCTGTTCTCCAGCCTGTCTTGCTAACCTTCAATTTCCCCGTCCTTCCAATTCTAGTTCGTTTTCCTCTTCAGTAGAGACAAAGGAGACACATTTTATCCATGGACCCAAAACTCCAATGCTGGTCATGGACTCCGGAAGACAGTCTTCCCTTGGTGTCTGATCACCGTGGGGACGCCTGCCCTGATCATTCACCCCACATTCCATTGGTGTCTGATCACCGTGGGGATGCCTGCCCTGATCATTCACCCCACATTCCACTGGTGTCTGATCACCGTGGGGACGCCTGCCCTGATCATTCACCCCACATTCCATTGGTGTCTGATCACCGTGGGGACGCCTGCCTTGGTCATTCACCCACATTCCCTTGGTGGCAAGTCAATTGCAGGGATGCCTGCTTTGGCTGCTCACCCACATTACAGCCCAGGGCTGCTCATCGCACCACCCCCTTCTCTGTCTCTACCTTTCTCTTTAAACTTACCTCTTCACTATGGGCAACCTTCCACCCTCCATTCCCCCTTCTTCTCCCTTAGCCTGTGTTCTCAATAACTTAAAACCTCTTCAACTCACCCCTGACCTAAAACCTAAATGCCTTATTTTCTCCTGCAATACCGCTTGGCCCCAATACAAACCCAACTGGTTCCAAATGGCCAGAAAACGGCACTTTTGATTTCTTCATCTTACAAGACCTAGGTGATTTTTGTCGAAAAATGGGCAAACAATCTGAGGTGCCTGACATCCAGGCACTCTTTCACACATTGGTCCTTCCCTAGTCTCTGCTCCTAATGCGACTCATCCCAAATCTTTCTTCTTTCTCTCCTGTTTCTTTAGTCTCCACCCCAAACTCTGAGTCCTTTGAATTCTCCTTTTCTACAGATCCATCTGACCTTTTCCCCCTTCCCCAGGCTGCTGCTGACCAGCCAGGCCGAGCCAGGTCCCAATTCTTCCTCAGCCTGTGCTCCCCCACCCTATAATCCTTCTACCACCTCCCCTCCTCACACCTGGTCCAGCTTGCAGTTTCATTCTGTGACTAGCCCTCCCCCACCTGCCCAACAATTTCCTCTTAAAAAGGTGGCTGGAGCTGAAGGCATAGTCAAGGTTAATGCTCCTTTTTCTTTATCTGACCTCTCCCAAATCAGGTAGCATTTAGGCTTTTTTTCTTTTTTCTTTTTTTAATCAAATATAAAAACCCAGCCCAGTTCATGGCCCATTTAGCAACAACCCTTAGACACTTTACTGTGCTAGACCCAAAGAGGCCAGAAAGCCATCTTATTCTCAATATACATTTTATTAGCCAATCCACTCCAGACATTAAAAAAGCTCCAAAAATTAGATTCTCGCCCTCAAACCCCACAACAGGACTTAATTAACCTCGCCTTCAAGGTGTACAATAATAGAGAAGAGGCAGCCAAGTGGCAACGTATTTCTGAGTTGCAATTACTTGCCTGCATTGTGAGAGAAACCCCAGCCACATCTCCAGCACACAAGAACTTCAAAACGCCTAAACTGCAGTGGTCAGGTGTTCCTCCAGGACCTCCTCCCCAAGGATCTTGCTTCAAGTGCTAGAAATCTGGCCACTGGGCCAAGGAATGCCTGCAGCCCGGGATTCCTCCTAAGCTGTGTCCCATGTATGTGGGACCCCACTGGAAACTGGACTGTTTAATTCGCCCAGCAGCCACTCCCAGAGCCCCTGGAACTCTGGCCCAAGGCTCTCTGACTGACTCCTTCCCAGATCTTCTTGGCTTAGCAGCTGAAGACTGATGCTGCTTGATCACCTCAGAAGCCTCCTGGACCATCACAGACGCTTTGGGTAACTCTTACAGTGGAGGGTAAGTCCATCCCCTTCTTAATCAATATGGAGGCCACCCACTCCACATTACTTTCATTTCAAGGGCCTGTTTCCCTTGCCTCTATAACTGTTGTGGGTATTGATGACCAGGCTTCTAAACTCCTTAAAATTCCCCAACTCTGGTGCTGACTTGGATAACAATCTTTTATGCACTCCTTTTTAGTTATCCCCACCTGCCCACCTCCCTTATAAAACGTCGAGACATTTTAAGTAAATTATCTGCTTCCCTGACTATTCCTGGGCTATAGCCACACCTCATTGCCACCCTTTTCCCCAGTTCAAAGCCTCCTTCACATCCTCCCCTTTCATCTCCCTACCTTAATCCACAAGTATAGGATACCTCTACTCCCTCCTTGGCGACTGATCATGCACCCCTTACCATCCCTTTAAAACGTAATCACCCTTACCCCTCTCAATGCCAGTATGCCATCCCACAACAGACTTTGAGGGGACTAAAGCCTGTTATCAGTCGCCTGTTACAGCATGGCCTTTTAAAGCCTATAAACTCTCCTTACAATTCCCACATTTTACCTGTCCAAAAACTGGACAAGTCTTACAGGTTAGTTCAGGATCTGTGCCTTATCAACCAAATTGTTTTGCTTATTCACTCTGTGGTGCCAAATCCATACACCCTTTTGTCCTCAATAACTTCTTCTGCAACTCACTATTGTGTTCTTGATCTTAAAGATGCTTTTTTCACTATTCCCCTGCACCCCTCATCCCAGCCTCTCTTTGTTTTTACCTGGACTGACCCTGACACCCATCAGCCTTGGCGACTTACCTGGGCTGTACTGCCACAAGGTTTCAGGGACAGCCCCCATTACTTCAGTCAAGCCCTTTCTCATGGTTTACTTTCTGTCTGTCCATCTGCTTCTCACCTTATTCAATATTTTGATGACCTTCTACTTTATAGCCCCTCCTATGAATCTTCTCAACAGGACATCCTCCTGTTCCTCCAACATCTATTCTCAAAAGGATATCGTGTATCCCCCTCCAAAGCCCAAATTTCTTCCTCATCTGTTACCTATCTCGGCATAATTCTTCATGAAAACACACACGCTCTCCCTGCTGATTGTGTCCAGCTGATCTCTCAAACCCCTGTCCCCACCACCAAACAACAATTCCTTTCCTTCTTAGGCATTGTTGGATATTTCCAACTCTGGATACCAGGCTTTGCTATCTTCTTTTCACTCTCTCAAAAAGGCCCTGGAGACAGCTTCCACACTAGCACTCCCCGACTCGTCCCAGTCTTTTTCCTTACAAACAGCTGAAATACAAGGCTGTGCTGCTACAGTCCTCACACAGGAACCAGGCCCACAACCTGTTACCTTTCTATCAAAACAACTTGACCTCACAATTCTGGGGTGACCCTCATGTGTGCATGCAGTGGCAACTGCCACTTTAATACTTCTGGAAGCCCTCAAAATCATAGACTATGCTCCCCTTACTCCCTACAGTTCCCATAACTTTCAAAATCTATTCTCCTCCTCACACTTGACATATATACTTTCTGCGCCCTGGCTCCTTCAACGGTACTCACTATTTGTTGAATCTCCCACAATTACCATTGTTCCTGGTCCAGACTTCAATCCAACCTCTCATCTTATTCCCGATACTACATCTGAACCCCATGACTGTATCCCTCTAATCCACATGGCATTCTCCCCTTTTCACCATATTTCCCTCTTTCCTGTTCCTCACCCAGACCACACTTGGTTTACTGATGGTAGTTCTTCCAGGCCCAATTGCCAATCACCGGCAAAGGCAGGCTATGCTATAGTGTCTTCCACATCTATCACTGAGGCTATGGGCCTACCCCCTTCTGCTACCTCTCAACAAGCTGAACTCATTGCCTCAACTCGAGCCCTCATTCTTGCAATGGAACTATGTGTCAATATCTATAACGATTCCAAGTATGCCTTCCACATCCTTCAACACCATGCTGTTATATGGGCAGAAAGAGGTTTCCTCACTACATAAGGGTTCTCCATCATTAATACCTCCCTAATAAAAACTCTTCTTAAAGCTGCTCTACTTCCAAGAAAACTGAGGCCATTCACTGCAAAGGCCATCAAAGGGCATCAGATCCCATCGCTCAGGGCAATGCTTACGCTAATAAGGTATCTAAACAAGCATCTAGCGTTTCAACTTCTGTCCGTCATGGCCAGTTTTTCTCCTTCTCATCTTTACACTTTACATTTCCAGTTTTGCCTTACTCAAGGTCTCTTCTTCCCTGTGGCTCCTCCACCTACATGTGTCTACCTGTTAATTAGACAGGCACATGTACACTAGTTTTCCTTACCCCCAAAAATCAATTTGCAAATGGGACCCAACAGCTTCCTG